CCTCATCTCCTACCTGATCAGGGACCTTATTATCAGTTGTCACTTCTCTCTTGACGTTCACCCTCTTCCTCTCAACCCAAGTTTTCCCATCAGCATTCAACAAACACACAAATCCTCCCTTCTGAAAACACAAAACAAAACAAAACCCTCCCTCAAACTCCCACTCCATCTTCTCCAGCTATCCTCCCATGTCCTGTCTCAGCCACATTTCTTGAAAGGGCTGTACCGACATGCCATCCCCATGTCCTTATTTCCCATTTATTTCTGCTCCCTGGTTGTCTCTCCATCATAACAGTTCTTGCCAAGGTCACCACTGGTCTAAACCTATGTTCTGGGACTTCACGGCAGTATTCGACATTGGCAACCACTCCCTTTCCTGGAACATTCTTCCCCTGGCTTCGGTGACATCATGTCCTCGTGGTTTCCCTCCCATATCTCTTTCAGAGTTCTTAGCCAGCCATCCTCCACCTGGCCGTGAGAGGGGGAGTCCCTCGCCCACCTGGCTCACACTCTGTTCACCCTCAACCCTTCTCCTTGGGCAAACTCGTCCTTGCCTGTGGCTTTAGGTACCATCCATATTCTGGTGACTCAGAAGTTCATGGCTCTAACCCAGCATCCGGGTCTTATTTTCAGACCGCAGTCCAGCTGAGTTGACAGCTCCTCTCGCCTATCTCAAAGACTTGAGCGCAGTATGCACAGAGCCGTGCAGGTCTAGTCCTCTTCCACCGTTCCCTCCATCAGTGAACGGCACCATGACTTCGCCTGTTTCTTTCACCAGAACTCCCTCAGTTCTTCACGTTCCTTTCTCCTTCCTCTGCCCCCACACATCTTAATCAAAGCTACTATGAAGTCTTGTCCATTTTACCTCCTCAGTATTTCCTAAGTGTGTCTGCTTGTCTCTATTTCTATCCCTACTCTCATTATCTAAGCAACTATCATGTTTCGTCTTGACCAACGCAACAGCTGCTCTTTGGTACCTCAGACCCCTTCTCAGACTCCCTTCCCCTACATACTGCAGCCAGAGTGAGGTTTTCAAAGCATGCATCCAGTTCCAGAGGGTCGCACTGGGGCTACCCCATTCAGGATAAAGATTGACCCCCTTCTTGCGGCCCGCAGGCCCTGCCTGGTCTTTCCCCAGGTTCCTCCAGCTCTTGGAGCCCCAGCTGTTGTCGTCCTCTGCAGTCTGCCAGAAAGTGTTTGCACATGCTGTTCCCTCTGCCTGCAATGCTGTTCTTTCCTTCCCTTTGGTCTAATGAGCTCCTAGCCATCCTTAACTCTCCAGTTCAATCACTTTTTCCTTAGGAAATCCTTCCATTAACCATCAGGCAATTAGGGTTCCACCACAAAATACTTTTATAGCTCCATGTCTCCCTCTCCTTAGTAATGCTTAGCATGGTGATAATTTTATCCATCTGTGCGATGACTTGAGTCTCTCTCCAATGACGGAGGAGGGCCTATGAGTATAGATAGTATGTTCTTCCTCACCATTGGAATCCTAATAGTTAATCAATGTCTGGCAAGAAGGAAATGCTCAATAAATATTTGGTGAATAACTTTTAACAATATAGTTTGAGAGCTATGGAAATGTTCATATGTTCTGATCCAATAGTCCTTCTTCCTGAAATTTATCCCAGAAAGTAATCCAAAAAATAAAAAGAAAGAAAATGTTTTTTATGTGAAATTATTAACCACAATTTTTTTCTAGTAGAACATTTTTTTAAGACCTAGAAATGTCCAGCAACAGGGAAAATGTTAAAGAGTGGAAGATCCACAAAGTAAACAACACAGTCATTTAAAAACAATTATGAGGACAAAGTAGCAATATGGAACACAATTTACCATATTACAATTGTTTTTTAAAAGCTGAATGCAAAATTAGAGTTTTACAACTATGTAAAAATGTTTTATGCATGCAGACAAGTACCAGATGGGAAAGGAAAAATAAATGAGTTGGTTTGTCAAAAAAAGTAGATCATGATTGAATTTTCCATTTTGTTTTGATTTCTCTTAGTGCAGTTATATTGTTTTTTTTTTTTTTTTGTGAGGTTGGGAACTTTAATTTTTTTCATTTTTTTAATTTTGGTATCATTAATGTACAATTACATGAGCAACATTATGGTTACTAGACTCCCCCCATTATCAAGTCCCCACCACATACCCCATTACAGTCACTGTCCATCAGTGTAGTAAGATGCTATAGAATCACTATTTGTCTTCTCTGTGTTGTGCTGCCTTCCCTGTGCCCCGCCCCCCACATTATGTGTGCTAATCGTAAGGCCCACTTTTTCCCCCTTATCCCTCCCTTCCCACCCATCCTCCACAGTCCCTTTCCCTTTGGTAACTGTTAGTCCATTCTTGGGTTCTGTGAGTCTGCTGCTATTTTGTTCCTTCAGTTTTTTTCTTTGTTCTTATACGCCACAGATGAGTGAAATCATTCGATACTTGTCTTTCTCCACCTGGCTTATTTTACTGAGCATAATGCCCTCTAGCTCCATCCATCTTGTTGCAAATGGTAGGATTTGTTTTCTTCTTATGGCTGAATAGTATTCCATTGTGTATATGTACCACATCTTCTTTATCCATTCATCTACTGATGGACACTTAGGTTGCTTCCATTTCTTGGCTATTGTAAATAGTGCTGCAATAAACATAGGGGTGCATCTGTCTTTTTCAAACTGGAGTGCTGCATTCTTAGGGTAAATTCCTAGGAGTGGAATTCCTGGGTCAAATTAGTTATATTGCTTTTGCTCAAATAATACTTTAATGTATTCTGAGTTTCATCTAGCTATCACAGGTTGAAGAAACCAGTCATGTTAAGGTAAAGATCCATCAAAGTACAAATGCCTAATAAATAATGTTATTTTAGAATGACTTTATTTACCACTTTTGAAATAGATTCCATGATAATTATATCCTATGTTTATAGTATTTAATGAATATTCATGTACATGTCTTTTTGTTCACATATATTTTTGTTTACCTTGAGTAAATACCTAGGAATGGGATAGGTGGACTATATGGTTGGGATATATTTAACTTTTTTTCCCCCACTTCACTGTGAGCCAGTTTTATTTATTTTTAAAACCATTTCATCTTTAAATAATAGTTATATATTTTTAAGGTGTGTAGTTACCATTTTTGTGTGTATGGTGAGAAACCTGAAATCTACTCTCTTGGTAATACAGTATTCCAGTATTCAATACAGTATTATTAACTTTAGTCACCATGTTATACATCAGATCTCTAGACTTATTCATCCTACTTAACTGCATCTCTGTACCCTTTGACCAATATCTCCTCACGTCCCCCACCTCCACTGGTAACTGCCATTCTACCCTCTGCTTCTATGAGTTTGAATTTTTTGGAGTTTATATATAAGTATGATCATGCAGTATTTCTTTCCTTGTCTAACTTATTTCACTTGGTATAATGTCCTCTAGGTTCATTCATGTTGTTGCAAATGACAAAATTTCCTTATTTTTAAGGATGAGTAATATTCCATTGTGTGTGTTTATATCATCTCCTCACATAGTTACCATATTTTCATGAAGAGAGAGAAAATATATATATATATACCTGACATACACACACCCACAAGGATGACTACAATAAAAAAGATGGACAATAACAAGTGTTGGTGAAGACATGGGGAAAGTGTACCTCTTACGCATTGCTGGTAGAAATGTAAAATTATGCAGCTGTTTTGGAAAACAGTTTGGCAGTTCTTCAAAAAGTTAAACATGAAGCTATCATATGACCCAAGAATTCTATTCCCAGGTATTAACACAAGAGAAATGAAAACATACATCCACACAAAATTTGTACATGAATGCTCATAGCTGTTTTATTTATAATCACCCCAAAGTGGAAACAACCCCAAAGTCCATCAGTGATGAAGAGATAAGTAAAACATGGTACATCTGTGCAATAGAACATTATTTGGAAATAAAAAGAAATGAAGTACCGATACATGCTACAACAGGGATGAACCTTGAAAACATTACATTAAGTGAAAGAAGCCAGTAGTAAACAACCATATTTTGTCAGATTCCATTTATAGCAAATGTCCAAAACAGGCAAATCCATGAAGACAGAAAATGGATTAGTGGTTGCTGAGGGCTGGACATTGAGTGGTAGTGGAGGGGAATGGGGAATGATAACTAATAGGTATGGCATTTCTTTTAAGAGGGATGAAAATGTTCTATAATTAGATTGTGGTGATAGTTGTACAACTGTGAATATACTAAAAACCTTTGAGTTGTATACTTTAGGTATGTGAATTATATGACATGTAAATTATATCTCAAGACTGTTAAAAAAATCAATTGACTGTGTATATGTGGGTCTACTTCTGGGCTCTCTCTTCTGTTCTTAACACCAGTACCACACTGTCTTGTATTGTATCTTTATAGATTTGGAAACTAACTGGTGTAATTTCAACAACCTTCTTCTTCTTTTATCAAATTATTTGGGCTTTTATGGGTCTTTTCTAGAATTAGTTCATCATTTCCTACAAAAAAGCCAACTGTGATTTTGACTGGAATAGCATTGAATCTATAGCTCAACTTTGGGAGAATTAACACCTTAATAATATTGAGTCTTCTCATCCATGAGGATATATAATCTCCATTTGTGTAGGTCATCTTTAATTTCTCTATGCAATATTATGTAATTTCCAGTATATATATCTTGTACATCTTTTATCAAATTTGTCCCTAAGTTGATCTTATTTTTGATAACACACAAAGTTTAGAAGAATTATATCAACAGAAATACTGTTGGTTTAGAGTGAAAAGAGGCCCTTTGGACTGTTCAAAGTCTATAAGCAGAAAGCAGGCTGACAAAACTACTCAGCTGCAAATATGTGCTTCTTTTCATTAAAGGATATTTTTGTTTTTTTAAATTATAACTTCTAGTCTATAACTATGACTAGAAGTTGCTAGTATATAAAAATACAATGATCAAAAATATTTATTTTGTTAATTTCCTAAATTCACTTCTTTGTTCTAGTAGCTTTTTTGTAGGTTCCTTATAATTTTCTACTTAATAATTGTGTCATCTAGCAAATTAAAAGAGTTTTATTTCTTCCTTTTCAATCTGTATGCATTCTATTCCCTTTTCTTACCTTATTGCATTAGCTAGAACTTCCACTTCAGTGGTGAATAGAAGTGGTGAGGATGCACATCCCTGCCTCATTCCAGGTCTTAGGGGAATGAATGCATTCGGTATTTCATCATTGTGGTTTCCCCCCCAAGATGGCTGCAGTGATCCTCACTTACTGGTATTCATGTCCTTCCTAACGTTTGTGTGTATGAAGGTCTATGTGACCAGTGGAAGAATGAGAAAGTGACAGTGTGTGAATTCAGAGACTAGATAATAAACAGCTCTGTCTTGGTCCCTCTCTTCAAAATTATTTTGGGGTAAGCCAGATGCTATACCAAGCCATAACAAGTGCTGGGGAGCATGTGAGAAAAGTGAAACTATCATGCAGTGCTGTTGAAAATGTCAAATTGTGCCATGCAAGATGCCATACCTAGAGAAAGGCACATGTGGCAAGGAACTGTGGCCCACTGACAACAGCCAATGAGCTCAACTTGAGCCTTTAGCTAATAACCATGTGAAAGATGCCATAGAAGTGACACCTCCATCCCCAGTCACGTCTTTGTGACTGTAGCCCTAAGCAAATTGACTGCAACCTCAGTGAAGATCCTGAGCCAGAATCACCCAACTATAAAACAACTGCAGACTCCTGACTGTCAGAAACTGCATGCAATAATAAAGCTTTGTTGTTTAAGCCGATGCGTTTCCAGATACTTTGTTACAAAGCAGTAGATAACTGATACAGATTTTGGTGTCTGGAAGTGAGCTGCTATAAAACAACAACTTAAAATTTCAGAGTATTTTGGGAATCAAGCAATGGGGAGGAGATGAGAGGACTCTGAGGTGACTACTGGTGAAGGCTTCAGGGAAAGGGAGGGGAATGTTCTTGGAAATTGGAGGGAGGGGGACTCATGACATGTACTTGGAGAAGTTTAGTGACACTGGTACCTGCAGTTATATGCAAAGTAGAAAATGTACCCCATGAACTGGGTGACTGGACTAAGGAGATTTCCACCCACACTGTTGAAGGTGCTGCCTGGTTCCTTGCTGCTTATGATAAAATGCTGGAGGAGAGAAAGAAGCTATAGGAAAGGCTGTTGTTTATGTTTAAATGGAGACAGGATTTGCTGTTTATAAAGATTCCCACCTCTCCTGATAACAACAATGCTAAAATTAAGAAATGGCTTCTAAGCAGAGATCAAATTCAGGGATCTCTCAGGGTACCATGGTCTAAAGATGAAGCTGAGGAAGGGCATGGCTGTGAAATCCTTCAGAAAGATCAAAGGTGGTACACAAAAGCACTGTTCTATCACACAGTACCTTGAAAGATTTTAGAGGTGTGACTGGCTAGAAGTGAGACATTCAATGGGACAAGATTCTGGAGGCAGACAGTTGAATAAGGTGTCAAGTGACACCAAGAGGGGTGTGTGGAACAGGTAAAATGTCCAGGGACTCCCATGAGAGTAGAGTTTGTGGTAAGAAACAGGGACTTTGGTTTAAATCACAGTTTTGCCACTTATTGGCCTTGGGACCCAAGGCAAAATACTTTGTCCCTCAGTTTCCTTGACGGTAAGATGGACATCACAGCACATCCTTTATGGAGTTGTTGTGAGGGCTAAATGGCTTATGTGAGCACCTAGAACAATGACTAATACAGAGAGGGGATCCGTAAGTGACAGTTGTCATTATTATTCGGAGAGATGGAAAAGCCTACATTTCTTGTAGAAAAGCTGGATGTGGCCTAGGTTGTACTGTAGGCAACAAAAGGAACTATAGCTTCAATTATTCGCTGTCACAGGCCACAGAGATTACTACAGGCTACCTAGACAGAGCGTTAACCCAGAGCAAATGTGAGACTGGGTCCTAGAGCTGTTAAAGCATAAGAGACAAACAAGTGACACAAAGAGCTGAGGAGTGACAAGGAGAGAGTGACTGCTATGGTCTGAATACACTCAGTTACTCAGAGCTAGAGGGGCTTTTATGAGCTTGTCCAATATCATGACTGTTGTCAGAAGCAGCAGCTTCTTCCAGGGGAAATAATGCAGCTAGTGGTGGCTTGGTTAGACGTAGCCCAAAGGAACCCACGGTTTCCTAGTGCCCGTAGCATAGAAGTGGGCATCAGCACCTCCTGCCTTCTCGTACCAGTCTGGGCAAGGATTGTTCAAAAATGGCTGCTACCTACTGGCCGAGAAAGGATGAAATAATAGTAAATGTTAATATAAATGTTTATATTTTTAGCTAATATTTATTAAGCACTTACTACATGCTAGTCATAATTAGGATAAACCAGTTTAGGCCAATAAAAATGACAATTTCATATAGGTGGACATAATAAATTTCTTTATGTAATCATGATAGAACTCTATGAAGTATATACTATTATTATCCTCATTTTACAGTTGAGGAGACTGAGGCACAGAGAGCTAGTGACTTATCCAAGATCACAAAGCTGGTAAGCGATGGAGCCAGTTTATAAATCCAAGGGATCTGACTCCAGAGCCCGTGCTTGCGAATCCCTTTTCTAGACACTGACATGGCCGTGCCCACAGTCTTTGGGGACTGGCCCTGCCACCTGGCCCCACTCTGACCCCCCAGCGTCAGGGAACCAGCCTCCCTCAGAGAATTATATCAGTTGCAAACCTCCTGGGGCCTTATCAGAAAGAGAGCGTGCTGGAAAGGCCCTGCTGTCTCCTGCCGGTGGGGCTTTGAGACAATGGAAAAGCACGTGGGCACCAAGCATCGCGGTGGGGACAATGTGCTTCTCCAAACACCACCCACCAGAATAACAAACACCTCTGGCTTACACAGCACCAAAGTCTAAATATTGAACTAGAGCATCCGTACCTCGCCACGTGTAGTGATGTTTTGGGGGAAAAAGATGGCAGTTGCTATTGTCTAGATTCCCCAGAGGGAAGATCTCAGACTGTTTCTGCAAGACTTCTGCCGCCTCTCGAGAGCCCGCAGTCTGAAAGAGGGCTTGTTTGATGTGAGCCAGACTGGGGGACCCCCAACATCCCATTGGGATCTTTACTGGCCTATAGAAAAACAAGAAAATCAGGACAACGTGGGGAATTTTTCCTAAAGCAAAAAGCATTCCATTTAAAGAATCCTATTTAAGACGCCTGGCTTCCTTTTCACGGCTCCTGCGCCCTCCGTGCTCCTCCGTGCCCCTCTCTGTACTCACCAGTTTCCTCTTCCAGTACGTGCTTTGCATCGCACAAGACCCCAGTAGTGGCTTCTCCAGAACCACTGTTTCATGACTTTTCAGTCTCAATTTCCACTGCTAACTTCTCCTTGATCTCACTATTTCTTTGCCTACATTCTCTGGAGAGAATCTAATTGCCTAACATGCCTCCCTTACAGCAAACCTGTCCCACGTTCCCGGCCAGACGATAAGACAGCTGCCTCTAGGCCAGGTTGTCAGTCAGCTGCCATGGGCTCAAACACAGCTGTCCTTTGAGCAGGTGGTCGTAGTGGGTCAGTTCCCCTTGGAAGGGATTTAAAAGGCAGGTCCTCTGATTGACATAGCTGGCACAAAAGTCCAATTTGGAGGTTTTGCACCAAAACTGGATCTGCATTCCTCAGTTTTGGAAGGTGTCAAAGTCAGGGCTTGGGAAGGTGCACCTGAGATGCATGGGATACCAGAGCAGAGTCAGGCTCTGGCCTAAGTAGCCAAGAGGCAGACCAAATGGGCAGCAGTCAGCCCAAGGGGGGTGGTTGCTGAGGCAGAGAGGAAGACCCAGATTCAGATGTGTTTTGGAAGAAAATCAGTAAGCCTTAGTGAAAATTAATATAGGACGAATAAGAGGGAGGCTAGGTGATAGCATCATTCACTGAGAAAACACACAGGAAAGTGGTTTTGAGAGATGAAGAAGAAATGGCCAGTTCCATTCTGACACATGGAAGCATGAGACATCCTGCTAGATTTACCGCCAGGAAGTTGGCTGTCAAGTGTGAAGTTTAGGAAAGAAGTCTGGGTTGGGAGGACAGATATGAGGGGAGTCTTCAGCATGTTGGTGGTTGAAACCATGGAGTGGATTATTTCACCCCGGGAGAAGTGGAGCGCATGATTGACACTTGACAAATGCTTGCTGGATGAACGAGTGAATGAACGAGCAAATGAATGAATGACCTGTCCAAGCTTGGTGTATGACTCCTTCCCAAGTGACAAAGCCACTCACTGAGACCCTGCGCTATGACAAAGCAGAATGGTGAATGGAAAGATTATGGGCTTTGAAGGCAATACTTGCAAGGTCTTAAACTTACCAGTGTGTGCCTTTGGGCTTCACCCTTAACCTCTGGCAGCCTTTGTTTCCTTATCTCCAAATGGACGTAATGATATTTACCACATCAGGCTATAGTGAGTATTAAACAGGGTGGCAAGTATGGAGTTCCAAGCCCAGGATTTGGCATGTCTAGTAGGCATTCAACAGCAGTTAGACTCCTGCCTCCCCCTGAGGCGAGATTTGAGATACTGGAGAGCATTGTGGGTAGGAGCATAACAGAGCCTGAGGATGTGGTACTCTTAGCCAGTGGCCTCTCAAAAGGACCCACTGACTGTAAATAATCTCATGTGGAGCTAATGTCAAGAGTCTAAATTTGAGGCCGGGCCCCAGCAGCCCCCCTGCTCCTCACCCTCTCTGAGACAGGCCACACTCATTCACGTGGTCTCACTCCCCACTGTGTATCCCCCTCTTGCAGGACTCCCACAAGTCTCTGGGGTGGGCTCAGGGTAAGCCCATCCAGGGGTGATAGGCCTGGGGATGGGCCCACCCTCAGCCCATACCCTGCCTATAGCTATCCATGCACCTGCCACACTCCACGTGAATGCCCCGTTTCCAAGTCATTGAACCCTTCCCAGAAGGCAAGAGCTCCCATTCTGGCATGCATACCAGAGCTACAGAGTTAGAAAATACACAGGAATGGGTGTTACCTTGATTTAATATCAAACATTCAATACTTGGACATTAGTTTACTTCATATAAAGGTTACAGAACCCTATTGGGAGAAATAAAAGAAGATGAAAATTAATAGAGAGCACCTCCACTCCAGGCCAGAAAATTAGAAATAGCAAAGGCAACATTTTTTTCCCTTGAATTCTATATAGATTTAATGTGCTACCTATCAAGGCTCCTAAGGGATACTTTATAAGAGCTTGAAAAGTCTATAGTGATATTCAGTTACCAGATTAAATGGTTCAAAAGGCTAAAGCTTTTTAAAAAGCTTTTAAAGGGTCTGATAGTAAATTTACCTACAAGATTTCATAACATATTACAAAGTGACAATTATCCAAACCATATGGTAACAATGGAAAAAAATGATCACTGGAAGGGATTAAATGATCCAAAATTAATTCAGTATATAATAAAACCATAAATAACCCAACAATGAGGAAAATAATTACTATATGATAAATATTTTGGTGGCAACTATAATTAATATGGAGAAGTTACACCTTATGCCATTTTCTGCAACAAATGACAAATGAGATTTTATGCATGTTGGAAAAGCAAACCTTAGAAAAGACAAGAAAGTGCAATTCCACATTTATCATATTGGAAAAGAATCTGTCACCAGAGGCAAAAAAGATTTTCAAATTAATGAATAAAATATTTTCAAATTAAACTTTGGTTGAATAAAATACAGTATAATCACAAGAGGAAAATCACAACCTGAAAAGAATAAACCACTAATAAATCTAAAATATATTAATTTTTGCTTTTTCACAAAAAAGCTAAAATCAGTGCACAGATTCCACTAAGTAAGCAACAAAAAAGATGAACAGACAGTTTATACAGGATGTACAGATGGTAAATCAAAACATGAAAAGGTACATAACTCCACCAGAAATGAGAGAAAAGCAAACAAACCAGGTCTAAGGTATTAGCACATGTTGATCAAACCTGTCAAAATGATTAAATGGCAAAAACCCCATCCTGGTAGAGCTGTGGGCCACAGGCGTACAGAGAAGTGGGGAGCAGTGACTTGGGAGCCAGACAGTTGGATAAAATCCTGGCTCCGTGATGTGCCGCTCCTGAGACCTTCAACAAGGTGATAATCGCGCTGTCTTGCTTTCCTTGTCTGTCAAGTGAGATTTAAATGAGTCAATATATATAAAGTGCTGGGAGCAGTGCCTAGTACACGGTGAGTGCTGCTTACGTGGTAGCTATTATTATTTAGGGGCTGGGGTGGGATTCTCTCAATTGTAATAGAAAAGGCATGGACTTGGGGGCCAAGAGGTCATTCATTCCACAGATCTTTACCAATGCCAGAAGCAGGTGCAAATCCAGTTCTGTTCATTATTAGTGATGTTACTTTGTGAAAATTGCTTAGCAATACTGAATCTCAGTTTCCTCCATCTGTAAAATAGGATAATATAATCTGCTTCATCTGGTTTAAGGTGTGATCAGATACTGGACAATAAAGTACCTATGGTGGGTGGCATGTAGAAGTCCTAAATGAATTCTTAGATGGCTCACTCCTTCTCCTAGAACTTCAATCCAGTGCAAGAGCCCTTATCTGTAGTTGTGGAATTTGTTCTCAGTTGCCTGCCAGCTTGGCCAGATTAAGACCTTTAGATGGCCCTAGGCCCTGAAAGCTTCTGATGCCGCCTACCTCCAAAATATGTAAATCAAAATAACATCACCAATCCATAAAATGAAAGTTAGTGTTTTTATATACCACAAAACTTACTTGTATGCTGCAAACATAATCACTTATTTCTGTATTTTTTTCCTCTCATTCTTGCTTACATTTTTTGGTCCCCATTTGCTATTGGCCTTTTTTGGGTGGTTTAGCCAGCCTACCAGGTGATCCTCACCTGCTGCCAAATCGTCCCCACATGGGCACTATGACGATCTCAGAGTTCTCCCTCCCCAGGCGTGGTTGCATTTTAGGTGGTGGGGAGCAGGAGTTTCTGGGGGTTGCAAGCCTGATGCAGAAGGGGCTTGCAGTAAATATTTGTGGAATGGATACATGAACCAGCTCAGAAGGGTGGAATTTTAGCTGCTGCGGGAGGCAGAGGGAAAGGCTTTCTTTGATGGAGATGCAGTGATTCGGGGTCTTCAGATCACACTAGGTAGGTGCAGGGCTGATATGCAGATATTTAACAGGTAGAGCAGCGCTAGTACTGCTTGTGGGCCTGGAGACCCCTCCTGGGCTAAACATCACCTCTTTGCTTGTGGGCAGTGGGAAGCCCAGGGGTCCTGAAGGGAGGGGCTAGGGAGAGAGGGGATCTGGGGGCTGCAGGCAACTGCTATTCACCAACAGGTTATGAACGCACTTCAGTATTCCAACAACCAGCCGGCCATCAGCCTGGGTTAGGAGGTTGCATGGGAATGAAGAGACTTCTGCCATTTCCCTTCTATAAAACAAAAAAGTCAGGTTTACTAATCCTTCAGATCCACTGCAGCTCTGACAGCCTGTGATTTTAACATGGTGATAGAACGACCTAATTCAAACCCCAGCTGTTATTTACTATGTGACTTGGGTCTAAATCAATTAACTTCTCTGAACCTCTACTTTTCATTGATTTAACAAATATTTACCACTTTTTATATGCCAGTTCCCAGGAATGCACTGGTGAACAAGCCCTAGTCCTTGCCATCCTGGAATTCACTGTCTACTTAGGACTCCTTGGATGTAAGTGACAGAAACCCACTCGGGCCAGCTTAGGCAAGAACGGTGTGCATCATCAGAATGGAGGCAAGCCTGGGGACCCCAGAGGGGAAAACAGTCCAACTGGAACACCAGCAGCCACTCTGCTGCTCTCAACCTACTTGCTGCGTCATTCATTCTCTGCCTCCCCTCCCTCCCCCACCTCCTTCCAAACTATATTCTTACGATCCTCAATTGTCTATGACTTTCAAGACATCCCAATTTCAAGTTCTCGAGAAATAGAATCTGAGTGGCTCAACTTGGGTCATGAATCCATTCCTAATTCATGGCCTGAGAGACTGGCTCATGTGCATGGGAGAGGGTTTTGGGTCCCAGAGAAAGGGGGCTTGTGGATCCTGGTATCCACTCCCCAGCCTCACAGGGTAGCTGTGAAGATTAAAGCAGGTTCTATGGAAAGTGGCCTGTTCGGAGCCTGGCGGATGCAGACAGAGCACTGAGTTGCCAGGCTGTGTCCGTGGCTGGTGCTTGACTCTGAGGGAAGATTCCAGTTAATGTCTTTCATGTCTCCAGCTGCTTTATGTTCATTTTTTTTCAGTTACTTCCTCCGTTTGCCTTGATCGTGGGCTCCCCCTGGCTGGGGTGACTTAGTAAGTTAGCTGGGCACACATGCGCCCAGGCTGGCCCGCACTCACGGCCCAACACCCGCCCCGCACCCGTGGTGGGTGCCTGATGTGCTAAATGAGTGACTGGTCTATGGCTGGGGAAAGGGGAGTCTTTGGATCTGTCTCCTTTTCAGTGAGGTCTTTCCCCTTTTGCTTAATATCCAATGGACCAGGAGCTCAGCAACTCTTAAGAATTAGAGGGAGGGACCAAGAACTAGGTTCAAGCCCTCCCACCCCAAGTCTAATTTGATGACTATCATTGAGCCGCTGACTTCATCTCTCTGGGCCTCAGTTTCCCCCTTGGCAAATCCACTTGGACACACGGAGATGAGAGGACTGGTTGAGGGCAGAGATGGGGAAGGCCTTTGACGAGACCACCGCGGCTCTCCCACCTTCCCCAGTAGGATCTTGCTGAGCAGGCCCCTGCGGGCCAGAGGGGAAGAGCCAGAGGCCTTCCGCCAGCTGCTCCGCGCCCTCGGGAGCCCCTTTGCCGCTGGCCCGCAACCGATGACTTCACCGGCTGTGTGGTTGAAATTCGAGCCCTCTCGCTAGGGGTTGAGCAGGAAGTTTTCTCCTGCGGTGGGAGCTTTTGTTCTGCAAGCCTTGATCCTTAGGCAGAGGAATTTCCAGCCCGCTGACGTCAGCCCCGACTCCAGCCCAAGCCCATCCGACCTGCAGTGGGGCTGAGAGAGGCCTGCCAGCAGGTCTGAAGGTGCAGGATTTCAGGCACCTTCTTCCCACATTAACTATCTGCATCCTGGGTCAGCTCCCATTCCGTCCTCTCAGGAGAAAAGCCCTGGAGAAGCTCATTCATGCTGTAAGTAGATAGAAAGGCAGGTGAAAAGTAGTCCAGCCACTTACTGTTAGCTGACTGCCTGGGGCTGGACATTTGATCTCACTGGGACTCACTTTCCTCATCTATAAAATGGGAATAATATTGCCTCATACTTCGTGGCAGGGAGTATTAAATGTAAAACATTAAAAACTGTTCAATACGTGGTAAATGCTCAGTAAAGATGAGCAACACGTTTTATTGTTGCTATCTCTCCAGCAAAGAGGAAATGAGCTGTGTGAGGCACCAAGGAAAGGGTCCAGCTCAAAAACAGAAGCTCCCAGTGCTAAGAGATAATCATGCTTTTCAGCTGCAGGAACCCAGCTGTGCTTTCCTTCTGAGAGTCACAAGCTTCCACAAAGGTGACTTACTAGTTTCCCAGCAGTCTTAACAATAGCACTGAATGCCTACAGTTCTGGAGGCTGGGAGTCTGAAATTAAGGTGTCTGCAGAGTTAGTTGCTACGAGGGCTGGGAGGGAAGCCTCTCTGCTTGGCTTAGGGATGGCTGCCTTCTCCCTGTGTCTGGTCACAGTCTTCTCTCCACACATCTCTGTGTCCACATCTCTTCTTATCAGGGCAGCAGTCATATTGGATTAGGGCCCTACCTCAAAGACCTCATTTTAACCTGATTATCTCTGCAAAGACCCTATCTCCAAATAAGGTGACATTCTGAGGTATTGGGGTTAGTTAGGACTTCAACATATAAATTTGGGGGACACAATTCAGTCCATGATAATGACTGAGGGGGAGAGAACAATGCTTAACTGAAAGGTGAGTATCAAATCTTTTAATACCACAACAGAGAGAGAATTTGGAGCAGGAAGGACTTCTTGAAGTCTGTCAAACCTACGTGGAATGAGGCTCTTAATTCTAACAATAATGCAAAATCTTAAAAGCATCAGAACCTAGTTGTGGAGCCCAGATAGTTAAATTGCTTATTTTCTGCTCTGAACTTCCTCCTACCCATTCCTATTTTCATCTGCCAAAATTACGTGTGAAATTCAAGATCCCTCACAGAGCTGGGCCATCCTGATTCCCTTCGCAGTGGAGTTAGGTAGAAGGAGCACTGGATAGGGAGTTGATGGACCTAAATCCCAGTTCATGCACTCTCTGTGTGCCCTGCGGCATATGACCCCTGCTCTCTGAGCCCCAGTCTCCTCAGTTATAAGCTGTGAGTGTGTGCATGTGTGTGTGCAGTGGTAGGGAAACGGTGGCAGAGGGGTCAGACTCTGCAACTCAAACTGAAGCGACATGGGACAAAACTGGTACATCTTTGAGTGTCAGTTTCACATGTAAGTAAGCAATTTAGAACGTAATTTTAAAACTCCAAAACACACAAGGACGTGACAGAGTGCAAAATGACACGATTTTTAAGCTAAAACATGAGGCTTTAGAGGAACTAAAGAAACACTGGGCTTGTGATGGCTGCTTTGCACCCCACTTTGACCCTGATCCCTGTGGTATGAGCTCTTTCCTGTGTGCCAGTAAGGGTTCTTCATTGGAAATTCATCAGACTCTTTGGACTAGGTGCTGGCAAAATATTTCAGTTCAGAGCCCATGGAGCTCTGGATCTGAACTCCCTCCAGCTCACTAAGAACCCCTTTCATTCATCACCTGGTTCAAGCCATCTCTTCGCTGCGCCCGCACGGGCCAAGCCAGGATGAGAGGTCTGTGCCAAATCAGAACGGACGTGGCAGGGAGAAGAGGTGCACAGATGGCGGGTGGGGTAGCAGAGGAAGTGGAATTAACCACTGGAGGAAGCAGACTCTGGCAGCTTTGCGGGGAAATATCTCGGGGCTTCCCCCATCTTCCAGTTCCTCTGATGGCCAAAACGGCAGGAATTTGAAAGTGAGAGTCTGCCCTTCCCCCAGGCTCCAGCCCTTCCTCTCCTTCACAGCGAAGCCTCTTGAAGGTGGTGTCTGTACTCACCTCCCACTCATTTTTCCACCGCTGTATTCTAGCTTCTGCCCCCAGCACCCACCTGGACTTGTTCTCCATAAGGCCCTGAGCGGCGCTTTTCTGCTAACAACAGGTAGTGCTCCCCCGCCCTCAACCCACAGTCCTCCTGGCTGGACGCTCTGGCTTGGGGGTCCCTCACTGCCCTTGGCTTCCCCCCTTCCTCCCCAGCTGCTCCTCAGTTACCCCTGCAGCTTCCCCTCTCTCTGGCTGCTCTTCCTGCACACCCTCCCTGCACCACCTCACCTGCTCCTGCAGCTCAAGCTCTGTTGATACAATGATGGCAGAAGCCTCTGGTCTCGTCAGGCCCAGAGTTCTCCCTGGAGCTTCAGGTTTGGCCACTTGGCTTCCCCCTGACGTCCCACGGCCTTCAACTCGGCAGGCTCATACGGAGTCACCGCCTTGTCCTGGACCCTGTCCTTCTACCTGTGTTCCAAAGCACTGAAGCCAGCCTGGGGGCTACTCAGGGCCCGTCCTTACACCCCCCCAAGCCCCCGTCCTCCTCTCATCTGTAGATAATTGCTTAGCCTCCGTCTCATCCTCTTAACCAGATGTAACTCTCCGAGATCAGGGTTTGCAAATTGCACCTCTCCACAAGCTGTGCAGGGCTTGGCTCAGCGGGGCACACAGTAGGACTTCAATAAATATGTGTGATTTGTTTCTTAGGGAAGTTAGGGTCAGGTTCTGGCCTTTTCTTCAACTTTCTGAGAAGAACCACCAACAGGGGCCAAGGGGGTGATCCAAAGACCTGGGATTTTGTCCTTGTTCTGTCCCTATCTGGGTGACTCTGGGAAAGCCACAACCTGTCACGTAGCCTCAGCTTTCACACAGTAAAATGGAGCCTGGAGGAGTGCATTCCTTCTCAGGGAGAGAAGGCCGACAGGGGGCACAGGTCCCTCACAAGGTAGCATGTGGTGGCAGGAACATGCCGGAAATAAGACAGATAGTCCTGCTCTGTCTTGAACCAAACCAATCACCCGAATCACCAAGCTCAAGAGGCAGGCCAAAGGTGAGGCCCTGCGATAGATTCACAAAGAATAACTAGGAAAAAGCCCAGGACTTAGGATCAGAACACAAAGGAATCTAGCCCCTCATCCACACTGTCTCTCTGTGCCAGACTTTTGTTACCTGCCCGGGTGAATGTCCTGTGTGGTCAGCCAGCTAATTAACCCATCTCCACCCCTGCTTTGTAGTCCATGAGCAAGGATTGGCTTTATCAAACTGGCTTGCAAGCTGAGCTGAGAGGAGTTTATTTCCCCGGGTCCAGCTGATTCCAGATGACCTGGTAAATGGAATTTTTCAAACTAAAAACTGAGGACCTGTGTGCAGATCCCCTTGGGAGACCTGACAGGAGCAGCCACCTGGAGTCCCCCTCCTAGATGCATCTCAGAGTCCACACCTGGCACCATCCAGCTCAGCTCTGCTAGGCAGGTTCGGCAGGGAATGGCCCCGGCTGTACTGCAGTGGCTCTCGAGAAGGAGGGGGATCTTTAGCAACGCCTGCAGACACTTGGGTTGTCACATCTTGGGTGGGGATGGCGGTGCCATTGGCACCTACTGGGTAGAGGCTCGGGATGCTGCCAAACATTCCACAGTGCCCAGAAGTGCCCCACAGTGAAGAGTTACCTAAATTATCTGTCCCAACACATCAATAGTGCCAAGACTGAGAAACCTTACTATCAAGTCAGACTGCTTGCTTCACAGCCCAGCTCTACCTGGAACAACTCACCTACTTTCCATGTGCCTGAGTTTTCTCAGCTTTAAAATGAGGATAGTATTTTTATCTACACACAGAGTCGTTGCAAAGAATAAATGACCTAAGTCATGTAAAGCACTTGGAACCATACTTGCTATACAATAAAACACTCAAGAAAGCCTGGCTATTGCTGTGTTTATCTGTGGGATGATACGGGGCTTAACTGTGCTGCTTTGGATGCAGTGTTGGTGCCAGTCTTTTCAAATAATAACATTTGCATCTTGTGATCACAAGTGGCGGAATCAGGAAGTCCCACATCACCATGGGGACTTGGCCTCTGGCAGATGCACAGTGCGTCCCTGTGCTCTACTCGCTGATTTCAGGGCCACCGAACAGTGCCTCTGAGACCTCCTGGGGCAACGACCCTGGGCCGTGCCTGGATGGGTTTAGCGGCTTACTCACCCGAGTGCGTTCCTGGCCTGCCTCTCCAGACCCAGATCCCAAAGCTGCTGGCCCCCTCGTGGCAGAGTCCCAGGCAGCTTCGACTCAGCTTTGGCTGGCAGACCGGGTCTGGGCTCCTTGCTGGTCTCTGCCTGGCACTCTGGCCCCAGCTCACCTCAGTATGGATGCTGGCCGCGTGAGAGGCAGCCTCGCTGGCTTTCTGTCCAGCAAGGAAGGCCACTAGCAAACACTGGGGAGTGACACATTTCTGTTTTTCTAGTTTTCAGCCATACCTCACCTATACCTGGAATCTTCAAAACACCCAACAAACAGAAGTAGCTGTGCTGGAAGTTGGCGAGAATAAAGAGAGGAAAGAAGCACTTTAAAATGTTGAATTACAAACATATCCAGCTACTTTATATATATATATAAAGCATTGTGGTAAAGGATACTGGTTACCAAAATATAATAGTCTCCCCCCACCAAACATGCTTTAATTATTTAGGAAGAGGGGTTGGTAGGGAGAACAGGGAGAGAGAAGGAGAATATTTAAAAATCTAGAATTTGTATAAAAGGAACACCAACTCTTTCATGGGAGAATTATCTAGCCTCTCCTTTTAAGGAAAAATTTCTATCTTCAAAAGGAAGAGATTAAAATATTCTAGCGCTTAGGGAGCAATCAGCCTTACAAATGATCCCAGAGGAACTTGCTCCCAGAGTCTTGCGGTTGGAGGGGTCAGCCGGCGTTCTCCCAAACCAAGGCAGCTCTGAAGTGCTGGGCAGTCAAGCTTAAGGAGCAAGACATAGTCCTGCGCCAAACCTGCTCCTCTATTCAACAGACAGACAGGAGGGTGACTGGGCTTGCCACCCCTGCGGTCATAAAAGACTGGCCTGTTTCATGCAAACTGACTGTTCCTCTCTTTAGGAAATTGGGCATTTGAAGAAGCTTCTCTCACCCCATTGGATTCTGATGATGGGCTAAGAGCCCATTTTCTCACTAGTGGGCCCTTAGCATGATGCTCAAGATTCAATCATCCCCTGCATGATAAATTGATGCTCTGGTTTATCAAACTGGGCTTTCAGAAGAGCTGTGAGAGAGAATAAGCTGCCGCTTTTCCTGGGAGATCATGCTTTGAAGACCCCAAGATCTTGGCCTTTGTGGGGTCAGGAGGTTGGAACAGGGGCTGGCTCTCTTGACTTTAGGATAACAGCACTAAAGACTTCTTTGTTAATCTACTACCTCATTCATTCAGGGAATATTTATTGAACACCCACTAAGTGCCCACAAGTATTATTCTGGGCACTGGGGTTATAGCGGAAAACAAAACAGAAGCCCTGCCCCCATGGAGATAATATTTTAGTGAAGGGAGGAGGCAAATTATGTGGGGAAGAGGTGATGCCATCTTAGGGAGTTCTTGGAAGACCTCACTGAGATGCTGCTGTTTGAACCAAGACCTGAGAGGTGAGGGGATGGTGAGTAGGCACCTGGGGAAGGAGTGCTTGAGGCAAAGCAAACCACCAGTGCAATGGCCCTGAGGTGGGCGAGAGCCTGGTGTATTTTCAAAACCGGGGGTGGAACAGGGCAGAGGTAGGAGATCAGATCAGAGGAGTTAGAGGGGCAGATCATGTAGGGCCTCCTGGGCCAGTGCAAACAAGCCCTTTGGATTCATTTCCAACTGAGATGGGAAGCCACTGGAGAGTGTTAGGCAGAAGAATGACACCCAAAATTTTATAAACGACTGTTAGCGCATTTCTCAATTGTATTATTAACCCATCTTATAGGTGGGGAAACTGAGGTTCAGAAAGGTTAAGAGAGTTGCACACAAGCACACAGCGTGAGCTGCCAAGACTCTAAGTCCAAGTCCTCTCCCTTCCAGTCCAGGGTTCTTTACATTCTCATGTGTACTTTGCAAATGTGCTGACCTCTGCTCCTGCCTGAGGACCTGGAGAGGGACAGACAGGGCTGGCTCTTCTTGCATCTGACTCGCTGGACACCTGTTCTACAGCATCATTTCAGAGCATGTATGGAAACTGCTCTGGAAATGATCAAGTGTTGCACATATGGCAAGTGGTATAGACACTTATTAAGAAGCTCTTAATGATCCCTCCTAAACCCAGTGCCTGACAGTCTTCCATTTGAGCACTGGCTTGAGCATTGCTGGTAGCTGTTACTCATCTAAGAAGGTTCTAGAGCAAGCTGCTCATATGTGAATCTGTTGGTTTCACCTACAGGTCATCTTGCCCCAGTTCACAGACCAGGCAGCCTGTGTAAGGAAGCACTTCCACAGCTAGCTATCAGGTTACCCTTTCTATTGGGCCACCCAGCAGTGTACCTGGCACGCAGACAGGGCCACATGCCTATCAGTCACCTTAAGTACTGAGCCTTGCCCTCCTGTGGGAGCCCCAGCTGCTGGCCTCGCTGCTGGGTCAGCCTTCTTATCCTGTGAGGGCCGGGGGCTGGCCCCAGAGCCGCCCCGGCTCAAGGCCACTGGGTCCTGCTGTAAGTAAACAGCCAGCCTCAGCAAATCCAGGGAACAGTCCTGTGTGAGGAGTGTGAAGAACACAGCCATAGTTTGGGTCTGAAGCCCAATTTTGCTTGTTTTCTAGCACACTGGGGGGTGGGGTAGGGGTGGCAGCAGCTGGCCCAGTGGAGGGAAACCCCCATCCACCCTGAAGAGATTGCTCACCTTTCGTTGCAGGCCAGCTTCTCATAATATCATCCCCAGAAGGGTTTTTCTCCCCCATGTGAATTTCATAGAGGGTAGATGGACTTAAAACACTTGCAGCCACGGAACAGCCAGTTTTGGAGGCCTTCAGTACCCCCAGCCCATCCCCTCAAAGCAAAAAACAAGATAGGGAGAAGCAAAATTAGAAGGAAAGAAAGACTGTAAAAGTTGAACAAAACCACTCACAAATAGCCTGGAAGAAAAAAGGACTGCACCGTATCATGGCAATTGTGGACAGTTTCGCAGCTGAGCCAGTGATGACTCATTCCTGGGCTCTGGTTGCGTAATCCTCCCCAGCCCAGGCAGGAGAATGAAACTAGGAAACTAATGCAGTGACATTTAGTAGCAAAAAGGAAGCCCACACAACATTTGTGCAAGGCCATCCAAAAATAGCGGGCTCCTCCAGGCTTGGGTTTGGAAACTATGCATTTCGCTTGCAATGCCTGAGCCGTGGCACATTTTTCTTAGACCACCCACACCCTAATTCAGTTCATTTCAATTCAGCAAATATTTATTGCAGGCCTACTGTGTGCCAAGCAATGTGCTAAGGATTTGGGAGTGGGAAATCCAGGGAGGAGGGAGATACTATAAGGAAAACATGGAATGAAGAATGGGTTTTGGAGCTAGTGAGCGATGGAGTCAATCCCCAGCGTGGTCCCTTAGTAACTCTGAACCTTGGTTTCCTTCATGATGTGGGGATAGCAATGCCCACCTCATTAAATTGTGTAAGGGTTAAATGAGATAAAATATTTAAGTTCTCAGCATGCCGCTTAGCACAGAGTAGGGCTTCACCTTATAGCAGCCACTCCTGCACACTCTGGAAGCATGTATGTATGTGCACGTGGACCCTGCAGGACCGAAAGTGCCACTGGAGAAGCACAGAGTCGTACGGGGCCTGGTCAGGGTGATTGGGAGGTCCAGTAAGGAGGAAAAGGCCTTTGAAATGAGGCTTGACTCATTTCAGCTGAAGTAAACTGCCAGACTGAAGAGGGGCAGATATTTCCTCAGTGCTTACTAGGTGTCAGGCCTGGTACCAGGCCCAGAGGACAAAAAGACAAAGGAAAGAAAACCATCTTTGCTTGTAGGTATGTGGCTCGAGCAAATTGTTGGGCCATCCAGTGCCTTAGTTTCCTATAAAACAGTGGGTGCAAGTAGTGGCTCACTTAGAGGATTGTTGTAAAACATAATTGAAATAATGCTTACCATGCACTTAGCATAGTGCCTAGTGAATTAGAAGTGGTTGATAAAGGTAAGCTACCCCCATCATTATCATCACCGCCCTACCAGCATCGTCACCGCCATCATCACCATCACACATCATAGAAGAGAGTGGGGTGCAGCAACCTCCAGCAGCAGAGGGGAATGTGGGGAGTCAGGGAAGGCCAGAGAAAGGAAGTGAGTTTGAAAGGACATGTAAGAGTTTGCCAGGAGGATTCTGGAAGGAAGAAGTGTTCCAGGCACTGGGGATGATATGAGAAAAAAGCATGAATGTGCAGGAGATAAATGTTCAGGAAACAGGAAACGACTTGGGCAGAAAGTCCGGCCGAGAGGCTGACATGAACAGGGGGAGGGAGAACAAGCGGGAAGGGGTTGAAAATCCTTCCTTTCTCCGAGCTTTCCAAGGGCTTTCCTAGCACATGTCAGGCAGTCAGGAAGCCCCAGGCCTGGATGTACGCACTGGCTCCCTCTGAGAGCCTTTGCCTTCTCTTGACTTCTTTCCAGGAGATGTCGGACACAGGCTTCCTGAGAATGCAGTCATGGTTACTGTCACATTTTTATTGAGAATACTATCCCTTATGTTGCTCAGAGCTCTTTGCATACAGAAACCTCAAGACAAATTCATCTTAGAATTCAGCCAGGAAAAAATGTTGATAAAAATGATTTCTACCTTTTATTGGGAGTTTGCAATGTGTCAGGCCCTGTTCTAATGGCTTTACATGTATCAGCTCATTTAATTCTCCCAACCGTATGAAGTAGGCGCTATTATTTGTCCTGTTTTCACACATAGAGGAACTGAATCGCAAAGAGGTTAGCTGATTTGCCAAAGAAACATAACTAATAAATGGCAGAGCCAGGATTCAAATCCTGGGAGTCAGGCTCCAGAGCTCGTTTTCTTCATTCCTTTGTAACAATGGAAAACTCCTCTCCTTTTTGTGTTTCTGTTTTCACCTTGGCTACCGGGAGCCTCAGTTAAGTTGTGTAATAAAGTGTAGTACCTTCCTTTAGCCCAGATTGCCCGCCACAATTACTATTTTTTCCCCTTTAAGGCCCTCCAGCCTCCAGATCCAAGCAACCAACCCAGGTTTTCTTCCCCCTATACTCCTTTTTGTAATTTGTGTTTTGGCTACTGTGGACTCCTCACTTTTTCCAGACTTGTTTTGCATTATTATCCCTCCATGCCTTTGCTCATGCCAGGCCTCCTACCTGGGATAACTTTCTTTCTTTTAATGACATGGAAATTTTTATAATCCAGTGAGTGCAAAGGGTAGTTACAAAACTACCTGTATAGAAATACAATAAGCTCCCATCTTTAGCAAATAACAATCAAACATATATATGAAAATAACCCTGGAGAGTCATGCATTAAAATAACATTATTTATATCTGAATGGTAGGATAACAAAATAGCTAATTAATTTTGTCTCCTTGATGATCTCTACTTTCTGAATGTTCACAGAAAATATGTATCTGTATAGTGAATTGTTATTTTTGAGGAAATTATAAGTTAAATATTTATTTTTAATTAACAAATTTTAAATTGATAACTATTTCAACCATTTGCAAGTGTACAGCTCTGTGGCATTGGACATATTCACATTGTTGTGCAGCCATCTGGGATGACTTTCTAATCTCACTCTCAGCTTAGCCACACACACCTCTTTCCAGGGCCAGAGCTACTTTCTCCTTCCGTCTAAGGCTTTCCCCATCTCTCCCCGCTCCACCACTAGGAATGATGGCTCCTTCATCTCCGCTTCCTCATTTCAGGGGCCTCTGCGTGTCACACATATCATCCTGTAGTAGTGGCCAGATGAGCAGGCTCTAGTCTTCATGTCCTATATTTGACACCTGTTAGCTGCGTAACCTGAGGCAAGTCACTTAGCCTATCTGTGCCTAAGTTTCCTCACCTTTGAAAAACAGACATTATTAGTCCCAATTCACAGATGAGGAAATCAAAGTTAATAAAGCTTAACACGTTTGCCCAAGATCCCAAACCTGGTAATTGGTGGAGCCCATTTAAAGCACGTGGTCTGGCGCTGGGGTACAAACGCGGAGTCTCTACCTCCCTAAATAATAAAGTACTGCCATTTATTAGTCAGTTCTTATGTGGCAGACTCTAAGATAGGCACTTGATGTGATAACACATTTAATCCTGACAAATAGCCTTATAAGAAAGGTTATTATCCCATTTTACAGATGTAGAAACTGAGGCCCAGAAAGGTGAAGTCATTCGCCTAAGTCCCTCAGCAGAGCCAGGATTTGGTGACTATAAAGAATGCCTTCTTTTTTCACCATACTATACAAAAATGGTTGATTTATAAAGTGTATAGCTGAGGACTAAAATGATGAGTCAAATTTTACTGAGGACAGAGAAGGCAAGGCTTTAAAGCGTTCAAAGAAAGGGGTTCAGTGAGGACTTGAGAGTACGGAGAAGCCTTTACAGAAGAGGTGAGGCTATCTGAGCCCTGAAAACTGGCAGTGGAGGCCTTGTCCTACCCTGAGCCACTGGTGAGGCTGGGGGTGCCTGTGAGCAGTCAGCTCCTAGTTAAGATTAGGTGAGGCCATAATAGGGTCAGGGCCTGGATCTACTACGTAGGACAGGTGGCTGATGGCCAAGGCCCAGCCAGAGATGGCCAGTGTTAAAGCTGAGCTCCATGCAGGAGATGCCAAATTAGAGCAAGGAGGACCTTAGGGTCCAGAAGCACACCTACCAGGCATTGACCAGGCAGTCAGGCGTGCAACTGGGGAGTGTGGGAAGATCCCATAGCTGACTCTCAGGGGGTCTCCCTCTGATAGTCACAAAGCCCCTCTCTGGAAAGTCATGGCCCCCACCCCTGTGAGCACCCCTCTGCCAGCCTTTATGGCTCTTATTTGCCACAGGGTGAGGTAGAAAGAAGGATTCCAGGGCTAATGATGGGTTATCACATCCAGTGCCTGGCTCCAGTAGAGAGACTGCAAGATAGAGCTAGAGGGGACAAAGGAGGCAGGGAGTCCAGAACAGGGATGGGGGCAGCACTCCGGAGGCAGCTGTTTATTACAATCGAGTCCTTCCTGGGAAGTCAGCGTCATGTCTTCTGAGAGCCAGTTCTCCAGGCCCTGCTTGTCCAAGCCTCGCTGGTTTTGCTCTGGTTATGTGCTGGTAATGTCACTGTCCTTCTGAGGACATGTTTGGGTAACTCGGACCTTTGGCAAACAAAGCCTGGCCTTCCCACTTGCCGGCCTCTCTTTCTTTTCTGGTGTGCCTGCACTGGGCTCCACATATGTTCGCTCTACAACTGGCATTGCCATTTTGCCTTTTTTTTTTTCCAAAGGGAAGGGGGATGATCATGAGTAACTATTTGTACCATTCTTTGAGCCTTACACTGTTAGGACTGGCCTCAACCAGTTCTTACAAACAATCCTTCGAAGCAGACATGATCATTAACCATTTTACAGATAAGGAAGCATCAGTCACACAGCTGAGAACTGGCTCAGCTGGGATTTGAGCCCAGGCAAGCCTGCCTGATTCCAAATCTATTGCTCCAGAGTTTTCTCTGGGGGTTGTGGGAAGCGGAGCGGAGGCACTGTCTTTACTGGTTTAATCCTGTAACACCATCACTTGTGACCTACCCCATCATTCCCTATATACTTGAAGCCACGAAATTTACCAAACCTAGAGATGTAGAGAAGCTAAAAAACAGATGAACACAATGTGCCGTGTGGTGATGGGACTCTGAGAGGATATCTGGTCCAGGTTGAGGGGAGGCTTTTAGAGGTTACATGAGGGATGGGACAGCTAAGCAGAACCATAGGATATGTAAGAGCTGCTCAAGAACATGGAAAGCTATTTAGGCAGAGATGAGAGTCTGTGGAAAGGTCTGGAGGTGTGTACTAGAGCCTTTTTAGAGACACACTTGTGGTTTAGTATGGGTGGCCCTGGGGAGTGGTAGAACATGAAGCTGGTGGTGATAGTAGGGTCCTTTTAAGGAATTTCAACTTTGTCTTGAAGCAATA